ATATTGTAACTGACTGTACTTAAGTTTTAAAAAAATTAACTTACGAAATGCTTCATGAAGCTAAAATATTTAATAGACGCACTGAGAGAGAAAATTTAGCAAATTTCCTGGAAAAGAAAATAAGATTCTAGACTTACAGGCCAAGACACTTGTCTTCGATGTGACAAAAACCATCCTTCATTTGGGAAGAAACAAGCTTATAAACTAATACTGTTCCTAAAGCATGGTTCCACAAAGCCTTAGCCACTTTATCTCAAAAAGATAATTAACGAAAAGGAAGAAAACAAAAGAATGAAATGTTCTATGAAAAATGCTGAGCATTTCTGACTCTGTTTCACTATCTCATGTTCTAATTTCTGACCCTATTTTCCCTACATCAGACTAAAATCTGCTTTATATTAGCCTCACATACTCAGAATTTTAGTCTAAAAGGCCAAAGAGATAATCTAATCCAATGGTTCTCAAAGTGCAGTCCTGGAGCATATAGCATCAGTGTCTCTAGGAATCCATATTAGACATGCAAATTCTACACCCATCTCCAAAACTTGTGAATCAGAAACTCTGGTGGTAGAGCCTGCAATGGAGTTTCAACAAGCAAAAGTTTGAGAACCACTTATCTTATCCAATCCCCTCACTGTAGAGGTGATTTGCTTAAAGGTGTAAGGTTTCTTAGAAGTGGCGACACCTAAAACCTAGGCTTCCAACTCCCAGTCCAAGGCACTTATGACATACCCAACGCTGTCCCACCATAGATCCTAGCTCATAACAACATTGCCTTGATTATCCTATCTCCCTTTCCCTACTATTATTTTCTGCTCTAGTTCCATCAACTTTTCCTCATGTGGTATGGTTTTATCTTGTCCTGCATAAAATTTGTCATTTTAAATGAAGTACAAACACTCCTGGTAGGCAATAAAAGCCAAAAGAATTACATGTTTAATTCCTTAAAATGGTTTGAACTCTTAAATAGAACTTTTACTCCTGTATCTTCTCTCCTCCATCAATTGTCTCCTTTTTGTATTTAAAAGAAACATTATTCAGCACATCAATGCAATCAATTAATGATTTTCCTACCCTGCTATCAAGGGTCACTCAAATGCTGTATGTTCCACAAGCCAACTTATTCTGGTACTTTGTGCATAAGTAAGTAAAGATGAGCAAGACACCATAAAGTATGAGTAAACTCAAAAATAAATGCAATAGGCGGAGGGTATAGCTCAAGTGGTAGAGTATATGCTTAGCATGCATGAGGTCCTGGGTTCAATCCCCGGTATCTCCTCTAAAATTAAATAAATACTAACTACTAATTACTCCCCCCCCATAGAAATAAATAAATAAATAAATGCAATAAACTGAGAAGAAAAAGGGAAACAAAGGAAAGATTAAGTCAATCTTCTCCTTGACAAACCAAAACCAAGAGCAAAAGTAACCCAAGGAAGTTACCTGTTAAGCATTTAAAAAAGAAAATTTCAGTTAAACATAAATTAGATAAAACAATTTGCCCTAAAGAGACCATTGATAGCCTTAGCTTATCAGAACTTCAAATTTTATTTTTTAATTTATTTTATTTATTTTATGTGGGAAATCATTAGGTCTATTTACTTATTATTCGGTTTTTTTTGGTTTTTGGTTTTTTTTGGATGGAGATATTGGGGATTAAACCCAGGATCTAGTGCATGCTAATCATGCACTCTATCACTTAAGCTATACCCTATCCCAGCTTTTTTTATTTTGATGGGGTAGGCAATGTATTTATTTTTTTTGGTGGAGGTACCTGAGATTGAACCCAGGACCCTGTGCATACTAGGCACGCACTCTACCGCTTGAGCTATATACACCCTCCTCAAGAACTTCAAATTTCAAAATATGACAATTTTGAATAAGCTAGTAATTAAATTCTTACCAGGCCTGATGTGGTGTCTTCATCACTGTCTCCATCCTGACTGCTTTCCGTGTCAGCACTGAGAATCACTGTATCCGAAGTGCTCTTGTTTTGCCGCTTGTTACTTTCAGTATGAACGTCTGAGGATGATTTTTGCAGCGTGGATTCTGCCTTGGAAGATGTGGCTTCCATCTTTGGAGTCAAAATCCCTCTGCAAGTTTCCTTTACTTCAGCCTTTTTACATTTCTTACATGCCACTTCATTGTTAGAATTCTTATCTAATAGGGATTCAGGGCACTTAAGCTGGTCTGGCTTGTAGTTACTGAGTGAAAAGGGGACAAGATACACCTGAGCTGTTTTTCCTAAGAATGTCTGTACTGGTCTCAAAGATGCATAGGCGACGTTTTGGTTTTCTTTATATTCATTCACCTATTCAGATCAATAAAGAATAAGAGAGCATTAAAATCCCAGGTCCTAAGCCATTTCTTGCATATCTGTGTAAATAAATCGAATTCCTATTTCATAATGACTACATAAATCCAAATGATAGCCTGTAAGGAAACTTTTTTCCCTCCAAAATCTAGATACCTAATTCATTAAACTGAATAGGATTATTTATTATACTGGGCACATTTCTTGCCCATTTGAGTCTGCCAGACCAATAATAATAATGACTACAATTTACAACTGAGGATAATGAATAACTGAAGTTGTTTCATGAGCGGGAAATTGACCAAAACTGCTGCAAAACCAAATGCTGATTTCCTGATCCCATTCTGACACTATTTCTGGGGTTACTGATAAGGTTCTTCCTCAACACTGAAGGCCTAGTTTCCATACAGGAAAACCAGGACAAGTATCCCCGCTTACCTTTGGAGCAACTCCAGGAAAAACCCGTTAAATTGAGAGATGCCCCAAGGAGCGAGAAATAAGTTTTGGAGTAAGGAGGTAGCGGGTGCCAAGTATTCCTGTCCTCCTTAGTCTGTGCCCGACAGATTCCCCACGGAGACTGTGGCAGGAGCACAACCGAAAGCGACAAGCCTTTTCTCACCTTCACCTGGAGTCGCTGTCTGGAGCCCACTTTCTCAGCCGCCACGCGCGACCCAGACATCTTCCCGCGGCTTAGCAGCTGGCGTCTTCCCGCCAAGATTACGGCGGGGAGGTGGAGATAGGCGGGGAAAGGCGGGGATGCGCGGGGATGGGAGGGGCCCGGGGCGGCGCAGGCGGGCTCTGATCTCAGTAGGGGGTGGGGGCGGACGGGGCGTTACGTTCGCATCTTAAGAAGGCAAGCTTGCCAGCCTCAACCCCAAAATCAAATTCTTTAGGGAAGCGAAGGGACCGAATCGACATTTTTACCTTGGATCCCGATGATTTTGATGCTGCTCCTGCCAGTATCTCACTTTGAAAAACACTTGCGCTGCTGCTAAGGAAAAACCACCTTGCCTAGCAATGTGAGCCTGGAAAAGATTGGGACGAACTTAGATGCCATGTAAGAGAGAAGAAATGAAATCGAAACCAATATACAGCTTTTACCTGCGCCCCTAGTTCCTTGTAACCCCCCGCCAGAAAATTACGCCCTATGACTATCGTATTATCTTCTTCCTAAGAATTTTTATTTTTTTTTCCTCAAGAGCTGGTAACAAGCTGGTTCAAATTTCACCCATCTGTTGTGCTCGCTGCGGCAGCACGTATACTCAAATTTCACCCACCTGTTAACTAACTAAACGGATTTAAATTTCGCCCACCAGTTAACTGAGATTCTAGTGATGACCTTACGAAGCCCAAAGGCTGGGGGAAAGTTCTGAATAATTTTTGTATGACAAAGCACCATAAATAGATTTCTCTCTCATAATTTTATCTCATATTAAGATTTTATCTGTAAGAGATAATATAGTCATAGCCATATTAAACCTTTTTTTCCCGTATCCTCTGGGAGTCTGTGAGCAGAAACAATTTCCTTCCCATCAGATTTACTCCCTCTGGATAGCAGTTGTGGAGCTGGTAACTTTATAATATGAATTTCTATTTGCTCTAATTTTACAGTCCTTTCTTCCTAGCTCAAAGCTGCTCCCCTGGTTGGTTACTTGGATCCTCCACTGTTTCTTGATTGAGACTTGCCCATTTTTATTTCTCCTCCCAGCCTATGACCAATTGGAGAACACAGGTGAAATAATTTGAGAACTTATTCTATTAAAAGCACCTTCAAGGCCCTTCAGGAACTTTCAGACTCTTCGATTCAAAAATTACTAATAAAATCAAACTTTTCATTGTGTCTGATATATACCATATTTCTGGACTTCAAGACTTTGCTCATGCTGGCCCTTCTCTCCCCACCACAGCGGTTATCAAATCCTTTCTTCTATGAATTTAGAAAAAGTTGAACTGACTTCCAATTAGCCTAAGTTTCTTACACAAGCCACCTCGTAAATTGGGATTGACTCTGTTATGATTCTATAAAACTTTGTAGACTTGCTAAATAAAATTCTAGTTTCTGGAGAACACGAGCCTTTCAACAATATTCCATTCTCCTTAGAGCTAAGCACAGTAAACACATTAAGTGCTTAATAATTATTTACTGACTTTTATATACAAACATTCCTGCTGGGAATGTTTTAATAGGCAGTCTCCAGAAACGGAAAGAACTAGAAAGCCTAAAAGAGGGTTAGGATTTCACGTGCTGTTCTAAATCAATTAGGGGATTTTTTTTTTCTTGCCACTGGCCTAAATTACCACCACTTAACTTCACCTGACAAAAAAAATCCTGCATTACAACCCACTTAGTCTCATCAGCTAAGCTAATCAGGTGCTACTCGCAGGATTTCTACTGACTAAATTCTAATTCTGAGTTTTCAACAGTCTGGACAAACTGCCCTTTACTCTCTCCTCGACTTCTTATTTGTCACTATCCCATTTTCCTAGGCTTCAAACCAATTTAACGAGCGAAACCTTTAAACCAGACCTTCCTCACCGCAGGGTCTCAACAGCAAAGCCGGGTGGGAGCAATTTCCCGCCAGAAGGCGCGTCCAAATACTGCGAGATTGAGGACATAGGGTAGCCTAAGAGCATGCGCAGACTCGACGTTCTCGCGGTAGACGCCCAGACGTCCTCCACAATCCCACAATCCTCTGGGCGTTTATTTCCGGTTTTTCTAGCTCGGCCGTAAGTGGTGTTTCTATTAGTCGCGCAGTGGTGACCAGCGGCCCTCGGTGAAGAGTTTTTTCTGTTCGTTGACATTGTTGCTGTTCACTGTTTGGAATTAGTCAAGTTTCGGGAGTCACCACCACTGCCATCAACATGTCGGTCCCAAGCGCCCTCATGAAACAACCGCCCATTCAGTCTACGGCTGGGGCCGTCCCGGTTCGCAATGAGAAAGGTACAGTGCTGAGCCCTCTTCCAGACGGATCTTATCCTCTTCCTTCCCCGGTATACCCTAAACCTCCCCCCACGCCGACCACCCTAACCCCACCGACCCTTAAGACCCAGCCCTCTGTTTATTCGACGTTCCCCATCAAACTCGCACCCAGTCGCGTTGCCTAGGGGGAGAAAAACCCCACTTCCATCTTATTCCTGGAGCATGTCTGCTGTCTGCTACAACAAGCACCCTCTTGCCTTGGCCTCCACCTTCGTTAGACTGATAGATACATAGTGAATGCCTGCTGTTGGCAGGGCGTTGTGCGAGATACGATCCCTCTTTGGTTATCCATGGCAGTCTGTTTATGATAACTCTTACTATAATTATTTACGTATCTGGCTCCCTCTACTTCATCATAAGCTCATAACTTCCTTGAGGCAGGAACCTTGTCTTACTAAATCTTTATGCCTTTCAACCAACGCAGTAACTGTGTTTGTTAAATTGAATACAAAGTGGTGTAAGACAGTGCTACTAGTTTTAAGGAACTCATAATCTAGTAGATGTGAGACAAACCAAAAAAAAAAGCGTATTCTAAGAAAGTGTATAGTCTTTCACACCTGTAGTACCTGTCACATAGGTGATATAAAACAAGTGCTTTGGAGGGCAGAGAAGGAATAATATCTTCAGATTGGGTTAATGAGGGAAAGCTTCCTGAATAAGTTGCATTTAAGCTGGTCTTTAAAGGATAATTAGGATTCCGATGAGTGCAGATGGATGAAGGAACATTGTACATGTTTGGGGGTGAGGAGAGGTCAGACTAAAGTCAATTTTTTCAGTAAAGAATTTGGAAAACAATATCCATTTTTAATTTTTGTTTTTAAAATACCTATCCTTGTACAACTTGCCTTTTTTTTTTAACTCAAGGCTTTTGAGAAGTATCCTTTGGATACATGAAGATCTGATTCATTCATTTTAACTGCTTATGAGTTCCATTGTATAATTAAATCACAGTTTATTCCCTGCTGAGGAACAGTTAGTTGTTTTCTTTTCTCTCCTGTTACAAACAGTGCTGTAATTGTCATTCTTAAAGGTGTCTCTTTAGTGCATTTGTGTAATAATTTCCCTAGAAATTCATCATCAACTTAACTACCTATTACCATTTGCTCTTAACAGTGGATTCTAAGAGCATTTTTATTTCCCCATATCTTCACACACTTGATTTTAGGAGATTTTTTAAATTTTGCCCAATGTAATTTTACATCCATTAGATGTGATATCTCATTATTTTAATTTTTATTTCCCTGATTACTAGTGACACTGGCATCTTGTTCGTATGTTAATCGAAATTGTAGGTTTTCTCTTCTGTAAGTTACCTGTTTCTGTCATTTACCCATTTTCTATTTGATTTGTTTTTATACATCCCAAATCTAATATTTATTTCCCAGGGTTTTTTGGCTTGTCTTAATTATGGAGTCTTCTGTTACACAGGCATTTTTAGTTTTAGTGTTGACACATTAATCATTTTTATCTTTTATGAGTTGTGGTGTTTTGTATACTGTTTAAGAAATCCTTCCCCACACTGAAACCATAGTTATTCAAATTACAAAGATTTTCTATCATCTAGGTGTTTGCATATGCTGAATAGGATTGAATGCACAATTGTGCAAGACAGACTCTTAAGTTAAGGAGCTACAAACCAATACGGATGTAGATGTTGAAAATGTTTTTCATACTTGAGTCTTTAACCCATCTGAATTCTGTGTGTGTGTGTGTGTGTGTGTGTGTGTGTGTGTGTGTGTGGTGTCAGCGATCTAATTTTACCATTTATCTTATGGTTAGCCAATTATCCCTACTACTCCGTTGTTTGACTAGCTCATCCACTGTCCAGTGCTTTTTAATGTCACTTCTGTAATATACCAAGTTCAAATAGGTTTGTTTCTCTGCACTCTGTGTTTACTTGATCTCTGTGTATCCCTGAATCAAAGAGATATTTTTTAGTTACTATAAATTTAAATAAACCTTTTGATCTCATACAGAAAACCTCTCCCACCTCATCTTAATTGTCTTTTTTTTTTTCATTAAGACTTTAGAGCAGTTTTAGGTTTACAGCAAAATTGAGGGGAAGGTACAGAGATTCCCCATATACCTCCTACCTTTACACATGCATAGCCTCCCCATTATCAACATCTCCCACCAAAGTGATATATTTGTTATGATTGGTGAACCTACATTGACACTTCTTTATCACCCAAAGTTTACATTAAGGTTCACTCTTGGTGTTGTATACTCTGGATTTGGACAAATATATAGTAGCATATATCCATCATTACAGTATCATACACAGTATTTTCACTAAGTAATATGCTTTTAAGCTTCCTCCATGTCTTTTCATGGCTTGATAGTTCATTTCTTTTTAGCACTGAGTAATATTCTGTTGTCTGGGTGCACTGCAGTTTATCCATTCACCTCGTGAAGGACATCTTGGTTGCTTCCAAGTTTTAGCAGTTATGAATAAAGCTGCAGTAAATATCACTGTGCAGGTTAACGTGTGGACAAAAGTTTTTGCCTCCTGTGGGGAAATACCAATGAGAGGGATTGCTAGATTATATGGTAAGAGTATGGTTAGTTTTGTAAGAAAGCACCAAACTATCTTCCAAAGTGGCCGTGCCATTTTACATTCCCACTAGCAGTGAGTTAGTTCCTGTTGCTCCGCATCCTCACCAGCATTTGGAATTATCAGACCTCTAGACTTTGGCCATTCTAATATGTGTGTAGTGGTGTCTCATTGTTTTAATTTGCACTTGCCTGATGGCATATAATGTGGAGCATCTTTTCACATGCTTATTTACCATCTGTATGTCTTTGGTGAGGTGTCTGTTAAGGTCTTTGGCCTCACCTTGTTCTTCAGAATTTTCTTGGCTCTTTTTGGCCCCCTGTTCTTCCATATGATTTTAGAATCAGCCTGTGGATAGCTTTTAATGGAATTGTATTGAAATTATAGATCCTGCATTTATTAACTTGGGCATGGTTGCCATCGTCTCATCCTTGAACATGATGTATCTCAACATTTATTTTGATCTTTTATATCTTTCAATACAATTATATATTTTTCTTCCTAAAGGTCTTGTACATCTTGTGTTGAATTTATTCCTTGGTGTCCTATAGATTAGTTGTGATTGTAAATAGTATTTGGTTGGGGGAGGTAATTAGGTTTATTTCATTTTTTAATGGAGGTACTGGAGATTGAACCCAGGACCTCTTGCATGCCAAGCAGGCACTCTTCCACTGAGCTATACCCTCTCCCCGTAAATGGTATTTTTAAACTGTATTTTCTAATTATATGTAGTCCAGTGTACAGTTACAGTTGTTTTTATCCAGCATTATTCCTGAATTTTTTTTAGCTTGTCTGTTGATTATCTTATATTTTCTACACAGATAATCATATAGTCTGGAAATTATGGCAGTTCTTTCCTTTTCAGTCCTTACCTTTTATCTCTTTTTCTTATTGTACTAATTAAAACCATAATATAATGTTGATTAGAGGGTATGATAGGGACAGCATAACAATGCCCACTGTTCTTTAAAGTAATGCTTCTAATATTTTATCATTAAGTATAATGTTTGCTTATCTATTTTTAAGTGATGTGACTTTAAGTATATAAACTTTAAATAGTACATTACTTTTTCCCTGTTAATTTTCTAAGGTTAAGCCATCCTTGTAGTCCTGGGCTACATCCTATTATGTCACTATAGCTTAGGGGGTTCTTTATTGGTTTTTACATTGCCTGAATACATTTACTGTTATGTTATGTAATATTTTTGTATCTATGTTCATAAGTGAAGTCCACCTAAAGCTTTCCCTTGACCTGTCTAGTTTGGTTATCAGGCTTATATTCATCATATACAATATGTTGGTTACTTTTCACTATTTTTCTACTCATTGAAATTGTGGGTATTTGTAAGAGACAGATAATCTATGCTTGTAGGTTTGATAAGCACATAAGCTAAAAGAGAAGAAGGAAGAAATAAAAATTAGAAGATTGAGTTATTTGGTCATATATTATAAAGACTGCCATGGAAAAGTCCAAAGGAACTGAAAGAATAGCTGATCAGTATTTTAATTTTATATTCCCACTGAAGTCGCCCTTACTGTGTGCTGGGCACTGTTACAAATAATTTGCTTTAGCCTTTAGTTGAGGTGAAATAGCATGACGTTGTGATGGAGGTAGTTTCCCTCTTCGGGGGAACCTTTTCTCTTGTTTAACTGTCCACCTTCCTCCACTTCATTGTACCCTAGTTAGGCCTCATTAGTGTTGGTATTCACAAGATGCCTTCTCGTGACTTGGCCTTTGTAGGAAAACACCATTATATGAATAGATGATTGGGTAGCAGCTCATCTTCTCCTGCTTGGACTCTTGTTTACCAGAAATACAGGGCTCTGTCTGCAAAGGCCAAGGGTTGAAGGACATTGGGAAAGAGACTACTGAAACATAATAAGTTATCTTTCTCACCCAGGCGAGATTTCGATGGAAAAAGTGAAGGTAAAACGTTATGTATCGGGAAAGAGGCCAGACTATGCCCCAATGGAGTCCTCAGATGAGGAGGATGAAGAGTTTCAGTTCATTAAGAAAGCCAAGGAACAAGAAGCAGAGCCTGAGGAACAGGAGGAGGATTCATCTAGCGACCCTCGGCTGCGGCGTTTGCAGAACCGTATCAGTGAAGATGTGGAAGAGAGGTAGTGACTAGAGTTATGTTTCCCTGGACCTGAACCCCTAAGGTTAATTAATAGGAACAACAATAAAGCTAATATTTGAATAATATTTACTATGTGCCAGGTATTATTCCAGGCATATTACATTTACTAAATCTTGTAATCCACATAATAAACTTATGAGGTAGGTACTGTTACCCCATTTTACAAGTGAAGAAACTGAGGCACAGCAGGGTTACGAAGATAACTCAGTAAGGGAATAGAAAACACAGGCCATTGGTTGGTTTATTGAGGAGTCTTTTTAGCACAAAGATGTCTCATAAAATTTGAGAAATTGATTTTATCCATTTACTTATCCTGAAGGCTAAACGAGGAGAAATGACACTGATGAAGTAGGAAAAAAGGACTGATGAATGGTCTCATGTTGGAAAGGGAGCCTCCCAGTAAGGGACTTTGTATGTTGCGTATTGATGGAGACATTACCCTGCAGAGAAAGTCATAGGTCCTGAACTTTCACAGTTCATATTGTCTCAGGAATTTTTTCACAGATCCTCTAGGCCCAAACAGTTGTGTTTCTTTTATTAAGTAGTTAGATCCAAATGATTTAATAAATAGTTATGTCGTAACAACATAGCCATTTGAAATATATAATGCACATAAAAGAAAAAACATTTTTATTTCATTCTTACATAACCACAGTTACTTACTAGTGGGGTTTATGTGCCTCATGGGTTCTGACAACTTCTCAAACCTTAGGGACAGATTGGCACTGTCACTCTCATTTCCTGTTCCATATTGACTGTTATGCAGTACTTACTTTTTATCACAGCAGCCCAAGATATGATACCATTGAAAGGAAACGTAGTGTGATCTAATGTTGAAACTACCTCACACTGTAAAATATATCCCAGTGCACCCATATGAGTTTGTTGCAGTGCCCAGGATGCCTTAGCATACTTTTAATGCTTTAGTTCCAACTTGACTATCTTCTCTGATACTTTGAGTTAATTTTTTTAATCTGCCCCTCAGTTTCCTCATCTCAAGACTTCAGAATTAATAAGAGCAAACATAGTGTCCAGGTGCTCTGTGACTAAGGAAATGTGGTTGATGCCCTTCTTTTTTGTGACATTGGTGTTATACTTGGAGACTCTGTTTTTCAGACTGGCTCGACATCGGAAAATAGTGGAACCTGAAGTGGTAGGAGAAAGTGACTCCGAAGTAGAAGGGGATGCTTGGCGCATGGAACGAGAAGATAGCAGTGAAGAAGAAGAGGAAGAGATTGATGATGAGGTATAGGAAAGAAAAGGAGGGGGAGGGTATAGCTCAAGTGGTAGAGCACATGCTTAGCATATAGAAGGTCCTGGGTTCAATCCCCAATCTTTCCTCTGAAAATAAGTAAATAAGTAAACCTAACTCCCTCCTCCTCCCCCCAAAAAAATTTAAAAACGAAAAGAAGAAAGGGAAGTCCTTTCTGGGTAGGAGAAAAACTTAGGGCCTGGTGCTCATTTGTGGAGGCCTTAAAGGCACAAGATACCTGCTTTTGGCAGAAATCTGATCTAATGTTACCTATTTGTTGGGGATAAGATTGAAAGTAGAATGGTACTAAGTTTCATTTGCTCATATCAGAATTTGTTAAGCTTGATGAGATAAAAATAAAAAGCCATCTTAAGGCACAGACCATTTGGCTGACTGACTTGGACGTATAACTTGAAGGAAATAGAACGGCGCCGTGGCATGATGCGTCAGCGAGCACAGGAGAGAAAAAATGAAGAGATGGAAGTCATGGAGGTGGAAGACGAGGGACGTTCTGGGGAGGAGTCAGAATCAGAGTCTGAGTATGAAGAGTACACAGACAGTGAAGATGAGATGGAGCCTCGCCTTAAGCCTGTCTTCATTCGGAAGTAAGTATCTCACAAGCCAGGCCTGAGTCCCGTCATTATTACCTTCCAAGCTGGAGATAGAAGCCACTTTTCTATCTTTTGCTCTTCTGAAACGTCAGCATTAAGTAAAAGTCTTCTGCTCAGTGCCCCAACTTGGTAGAATATTTATTTGCTCAGGCATATCTTGGTGTTAGCAGGGAGCCTGAGTTTATTTTCCCGTCTCCCTTTCCAGTTAAAGAAAACATACCTGCTGAGGTCTTAATATTATAAACACAAAATTAAGTTTGTAAAGCAAATTCCTGTTCCTTTCCTAATGGCTAGAAATCCTACTAGTCACAGTCCAGCAGGTTTCTTGCTATTCAGGCCGTTCTCAAAGATGAATGAAATTTTGATGCTCTGAAGACCAGGGCTGACTCCCATTTTTGGCTCTTTGGAAATAATAAAGCCAAAGATTGTTTGGCTTTGTCTGATTTGGTTGGGACTTGACTTAGGGGAGCCAAGAGCTGCACTCCAAGGGCTTCGGGTAGTTAACAGGACCTCTGTACTGCAGGAAGGACCGAGTAACAGTTCAAGAACGGGAGGCAGAAGCATTGAAACAGAAGGAGCTGGAGCAGGAGGCCAAACGCATGGCTGAGGAAAGGCGCAAGTACACGCTCAAGGTACTAGGGGTGGCTGTGAGGACTGAGCACAAGGAGTCGAGTGTTGAGGTCTGTCTGAGGAGAAATCCAACAGTTGAATTGTTCTCCCTGTCCAGATTGTGGAAGAGGAGACCAAGAAAGAGCTGGAGGAGAACAAGCGGTCCCTGGCTGCACTGGATGCGCTCAATACTGATGATGAAAATGATGAGGAGGAATATGAGGCATGGAAAGTTCGGGAGCTCAAGAGAATCAAGAGGGACAGAGAAGATCGTGAAGCGTGAGTAATAGGATGGGCCTGGAGTCTAATAGTGCCAGGGGGACAGGTTCCTAGTAGGGGAGCTCTGAGGCTCCATACCTACTGTGAGTTCTGTTCTAGCTTTCTTTCAGGTCCTTGCAACTGGGTGAGTTCCCCATAGTTGGAATGTGGTTTGTGACAGTAAAATGAGGGGAAAGAAACACATGTTGTCTGTGTTTCTCCATGACAGAGTGCCAGCTGACTCTTTGGTTTCCTGGTAGACACATATAAGTTACTCGCTGTAATCAGTTATTTATTGTTGTGTAACAACCCAACCCCAGATTAAGTGACTTGAGACGATTATTGCTCACAGTTTTGGAGGTTGGCTGTGTAGTTCCTCTGCTGTTTTCAGCTAGGTTCTCTTACGCAGTTGTGTCCAGCTGGAAGATTGACTGGGCTTCACTTATAAGTCTGGTAGTTGATGCTGACTGTCAGCGAGGGTGCCTCATTCTCCAGCTTCAGTAGGCTAGACTGGTTTCCTTACATAATGGTCTCAGGGCAGCATTCCAAGAAGACAAAGGTGGAAGCTGGCAAGATCTTTTGAGGCTCACATGTCATTTCTGCAGAGGGGCATGCATACTGTGAGGGGGAGAATTTGTGGCATTTAAATAATCTACCACAGTCACTATGTTAGAGCAGAATCATTGCTGAGCTGCATCACCCATTCCTAAAAATTACTAGGAATGAGGTGATATTCCCAGATTACAAAGGGAAACCCTCAATAGAAGACCGTGTCCTTAGTCTGCAGTTTTTAACCTTCAGTTTTTACCCTGGGCTTCGAGGAGTCCATGCACCCTTTAGCGTTGTATGAAAAATTTTGTGTATCTTTGCATTTTTTGAAGAAAAGGAATCTGTGACTCTCCACCCAAAAAAAGGTTACAGTCACTTCAGTCTAATTGATAATGGTGATCCTTGGTTTGTGACATGTAAGCACATTACTAAAGGAATACCAGTAAAGTCTTACACAGAGTTATTTTAAATTCTGTTTTTTGTTTTGTTTTGTTTTTTTAAAACTAAGAAGGCTTTTTAGAAAATGGGAATTAGGTAATGTTATAAAATCAAGCAGTATGTCTGAACCTCAAAAAGGCTAGAATCAACTTTTAGAAGTTTGCAACACGGTCTTGTGAGCATCATGACCTCTTCACTTTTTTATTTATTGAGCTCCTGACCTTTCCTAACAGGTAATGACTAGACTTGATGAAGATGAATAATGCTTGAAAGGAGGTGGGACTTTGTCAAATCAGATAATTGGGTCTTTCTGAAGCTGAAATGATCCTAATAAAGTTTTGTTCTCTGGACAGGCTTGAGAAGGAGAAAGCAGAAATTGAACGCATGCGAAACCTGACTGAGGAAGAAAGGCGAGCAGAGCTTCGGGCAAATGGCAAAGTCATTACCAACAAAGCTGTTAAGGGCAAATATAAGTTCTTACAGAAGTATTATCACCGGGGTGCCTTCTTCATGGTAAGAATTGAAAAGAGAAGGGGAAAATGGGGCAATAAGAATAACTCAGAAGCTTTGAATACTTTTTCTCCCTCAAGTATAAACTGGTCCTGAAATATTACTTCCACTTGCAGTGGTCAACTTTCTCATTTGCTTTTTGTCTCTGAAGAATATAAACCCAATAGAGAAAAGCATTTGCAGCAGGATTTTAGAAGTAGCAGCAAGTGTTCTCTTTTGGCTCCAGCTCTTGGAAGGAGGAAATGATGTAACAGAAGAATCGAGGAGCTGAAATAGAGTGACCCATCCTGATACTAGACTACTGAGTTCCCTCACATCACTGGGATATCATTATTCATGGCTAAATGAGAAATTTTGGTTATGAGAAAACCAAGCACTGCATAGAGGTTTACATTAACTCATATTTGGGTGACAGAAGTTTAATTGACTTCATTCTGAGCGGACAGAAATTGACCAGGTCTAACTGACCAAAAAAATGGTTAATTACCTAACCATTATGTGTAATGCCATCATGTTTGTTCCTCATATAAAGACCAGCATCAAAATAGCAGTCTATTAACCCTATGTAAAGTGAAAAGGACTTCTTCCAAAGTATTTGGATAATTCCTTAATAGAGAGATAGCAGGAAAGAGAATGAGAGAATTGACTGCATTTATTACTCTAATAGCATGTCGTTTGTTAAATTATTTCCTGATGTTAAAGGATTTTGTATCAAAAACCAGACTAGCCTTTTCAGATGCTTTGTAGCAAAACTTAAATATCCTGAACTGCAGCTAAATTCCTGCCTTTCACTGTAGATACCAGTAAAAATTTAAAACTTCAGTGGAGGATTCCCTACTCCCCTCCTTCCAAAATCAGTGTCTGTTTGCTCAGTGGAAAACGTTTGCTTATTATATGGTTTTCCAGCTCATGTAGTTTTCTAGATGGAGTCACTGGAGATTATAAATTTCTTGTACTACCTCAGAGTCATAAAATATCGCTTAAGCATTTCAGTTCATTGCTGACTAAGATACATAGGAATGGTTTATGTGCAAGTCTTTTGGTGTACGTACTCGTATCAACTCTTCTCCTCTGGACAAGAAGAGTGACATTGAAATGACTTCTGAGATTAAATAAGGTAGTCTCAGGCTCTAACAAGGAGAAAAGTTGATGTCAGGAAAACTATGTAATTGTCCTACCTTTCAACTGGGCCTTTCTGTAGCTGAAGGGAAAAGAGTACTCCAAACGTGTTTTTGGTTAAAGGACTCATCTCTTCCATGAAGCTTTCCTTAACCGAGATGGAACTATTTTAATTCCTTCAGCACATACATTTATCATCTATATCGTAACATAGTCTTAATGATATGTTTATTTGAAACTATTCTCTATAGTTATTTTATATAGTTCATCAAGTAAACCTTTTGAGCATTTACTGTGTAAAGGGTACTACTGTTTAACATGGCTAGAGGATACATAATCCTTGCCCTCAGAAGGTTTACAATTGAACAGTGGAGCTAAGGCAAATATATACTATAACATGAGGAATAGTGAAAGTACTAGGGGACTTCTGAAGAGAGAGGTGTTATGTTTGGTAGAAGATTGAAAAGGATGATGGGTCAAGGAGGTGACATTTAAGATATATAGACTTTCTGACATTCAGTGGTAGGAAGACATTCCAGGTAAAGGAACCAGAAGGAATGGAGGCAGAAATTATCAACTGTGAAGGCAAGGAGAGGTAGCTTAGGTCTGTATAGTATTTGGCCTTGACTACTACACAAAGGAATTGTGCTTATTTAATGAGAACCATTGAAAGTTTTTGAGCAGGATAGACATGTAAGGAGAGTTGTTTTAGAAACATAAATCCAGTGGAATGTGTAAGATTGATTACAGGGAAAAACTATGATAACTGAGGTAATGAGAATCTAAGTAATTGACAGAATGTTGGTCCCATTAATAGAAGAGTCAGGAAGAGGCTGATTTGGAAAGGTTAGGGAAATAATTTTCACTTTAGATGTGAGTTTGAAATCCCAACAGAATATCCAAGCTAATACATCTATCAGGCAGTAGAAGAATCAGGTTTGGAGGTTTGGGAGGCTTGTACGATGTTGAAGTCATGGGAGTGAATGAACATATTGAGTGCAGAGGGAAACATAGCCAACCTCCAGGAAATGTCTACACTTAGGCAGGAAAAAGACAAAGGAAAAAAGGAGTATCATTTCCTCAGTTAGATGTAAGCTCTTGGTTCCATACCCTCTGCTTTCTTTGTATCCCTTGTTGTAGAGTTTAATAAATTTGTAGTTTGAATATATGAGAATAAAACCACAAGATTAATAAGACTCTTTTCTACAGGATGAGGATGAAGAAGTATACAAGAGAGATTTCAGCGCACCTACCCTGGAGGATCATTTCAACAAAACCATTCTTCCCAAAGTCATGCAGGTATAGGGTACCTTAATGTCATGAGAAAAGTAATGTATTGAGGGCAGGGAGACATGTTTGGTGGTATAACTCATCATTTGTCCTTCCCACAGGTCAAGAACTTTGGACGCTCTGGTCGTACCAAATACACCCACCTTGTGGATCAAGACACCACCTCCTTCGACTCAGCATGGGGCCAAGAGAGTGCCCAGAACACAAAGTTCTTTAAACAGAAGGCAGCTGGGGTACGAGATGTATTTGAACGGCCATCTGCCAAGAAGCGGAAAACTACTTAAGAGTTCAACTATTTATTCTTCCAACTGTGGGACACAAGGGAATCTCAGCATCTGGTCCTTCATTTGCTTTTACTATTATTTACATGGCCTCTGCTGGACCTACTTGTGAGACTGGGCAAACCCAGTCTTTGAAGGTGCTTTGTGAGGTTTGGACTCACGCTGAGAAACCCACAGAAAAGCAGTCAGGGTAGGATTAAAGGATCCCCACTTAGAACTATTTCTGAGAAATCTTCAACTTCATCACTGCTCTGGCTTCCCATATTCACTTGGGACTGTTCCAAGTTTCTTTTTCCAGCTCTTAGCTTGGGTTAGAAACATGGGCATGTAAGTGGACAATGTGTTACTTCTACCTTACAGGAAATCTAAGCTCTTTGAGACCTGTTTTGCATTTTGGGGGTAAATTTTTCTAGGTGAACATACTTTTTGATTCATTTATGTGTGTCAAGAAATAAGACTCATACACCAAGAGCTTTTTTTAGCATACTGGAAATAAAATGTACAGCCTGACAAGTACCCATTAACCAAAATAAAAGATAGCAGAGAATTGTCTGGCAAAAGATGTTTCACATTTTGATCATCCCCTTTGATCTCAAACACAGCTACACAGACTCTTAATATAAATGGCACCCAGATTTATTCCATGAGCAAATACATGTCCTTGCTCTCTAAACTATAGCTGTATATAAAACAAAACTGGACCCATGAGATGAGTTCAAGTACCTACAGTATCTTCTCCTTGCCCAGTTCATATATAAAGGGCACAGTGCTCTCAAGAGTTTTAATGTAATGATTTCATGCTAGATGTCACTAGTAGAGTTACAGTTTTTCCACTTAACATTTACTACATAACTACCATGCAAGTGGCAGAGCCTAGGAGTCCTAGGGGTTACAAGGAACGACATTTAGTCAGTGGGAAGGCTGCTTCTCAATTGCATAAAAGAGGACAAGGTCCTTTCACATCCTTTAAACGCCCCACTGGGAGAATCACTCATAAATCCTTAAATGTCCTAGAATAAAAATACAAGTGCAAATAATTATTATGAGGTAATAAACACAAAGATGAATATAAGTCACTGTTGTATGTGCCAGAGGGGGATACAATTTAAAAATTATCCTAGAGCTTGCCAAAATGAGAATAAGACCTTGAAATTCTTTTTGGAAAGTGTAGTGCCATTTGAGTGTCTGCTCTGAGGCAAGTACTAGGCCAAGCGTTTTACATTCACTTGCTCATCAATTCTTAAAACAACCTATCAGATAAGTATCATTTTACAGTTGAGGAAACAAGCTCAGAAAGGGTGACTTGGCCAAAGTTGATCAACTTTTAAGGTAAAATGGTATTCTCTCTAGGATAGGAAATGAAATCTAAGGCTTAAGTGTTGTGGTTCAGAATTAAAATATTGAATCAATTAAAGTAAAAGTCTTTCATAAATTCTGTGTAAGGGCTAACTTTTGATAACTTCTGTACTTAACATATTCCCACCTCAGTACCTAAATTCTAACTTAAAGTGGCTTATGACTGGTGATTTACATCTATACACAGTGGCTCCTAAGCAGATACTGGCCTTTCTGCTATTCATAAGCTACCCTAGAGACACAGGCCATAGGGCATAGTAAACTTTGCTGAGACTCTAAATGTACCTTGAATACTGTGAGAACTAGTCAAATGAATGAGCCTGCCCTGCCACTTAGCATCTGCACATCATGTACTCTTCTATAATGATCATTCACATAGGTTCATTAAGGGTTATACTCCAACATGTAAGTTTCCCATAATAAAATACAATATAACATACAATGCACTTGATCCAAAATGACAAAACTGCAAGGGAAAAAAAAAAGACAAATCTTTATTGAAATAAGTTAATTCAGAGGGTAGGCCTGAGAAAGCACATTTCAGTTAGTTAGGGCAATAAGAGCCTCTACCACGTTGCCCATGTGTTCCCTCAGGCTCCGTTCTGCTGCTGCTCGGGAGATCTCCATCTCTGTCATCTGCAGGAAAGGATCAATGATGTTACCTAAGCCTCCTCCCAGGGATTAATGTGCCAGCAAAACATGCTGACTGTTTCAGGAAACAACCCAAATTAAGCAAAGTAATGTCACACTACCCATACACTAGTTAGGCATTACTACTCACTATCAGCTCCAGATCTTCTTTCTTGATGGTGACTTTTGCCAGTTCCTTCTCCCTGCAAATATTCAAGTACTTCAGTCCTCCTTCTCTACCTCCACCACAGAACTCCCAGAAAGGATCATTCCCACCAGTGCCTTATAAATAAATGACTCTTCATAAACACTGTTGACTGAAAATGCAAAACTACTCCCACTCCCTCACCTAGCATCCCATTCCATTCCCCAGAATATTTACAGCAGCCAGCAGGTATTGCCCAAGAGGCTTTCCTTCCACCAACAAAAAAGTAAAGTTTCAAATCTTAGATCTGCAGGAACTGGTGACAGCGTTGAAGAACAGTACAAGGTACAAAAGCCTAAAGGCGGCTTTTCTTTCTGGGGGAAAGAGGGGCTGGTAGTGTTGGCTGCATGCAGACTTACCGCTCCTGTTTGGCTTTCTGCTCACGGGACCGTCTATCTCCTATCACGGACATTGCCTATGGGAAACACGGCTCTAGTTACTGCTCGGCTACCCACAATTCCCAATAATCTAAAATACCATTAGCAAGTGGATGAAGTGTGTATTCAGGATGATGCGTGTACCAGTAATCAGGGCCTACGTTTAATTCAATTCCGTGCACCTGGGATCCACTTTAAACCCAATTTCTATCAAACTCCTTTTCGCAAGAGTCGGGCTCCAGTGCCGGTTGTTTCCGTCTTGCCTCCTCCCGCCGTCGGGATCGGGACCCCGTCCTGGCAGAGCGGGGCTTCCAGTTACAGCCTCACAGCCCTTTCTGCTCTCATCCCGCCTAGCACGCTCTCGGCCAACCTCACCGTCTCCAGATTGGAACTCTGGATCTCCTTCTCCTCCGCGTAGTCGGTGACTCGCTCCAGGTCCGCCGCACCACTGTCATGCTTCCTCGGCTTCTCGGGAGGGCGCTCCGGGCCGCTGGTCTCGGTCTCCAACTCCAGCTCCACGTCCCCCTCGGTCGCCATCTCGATCTCGCTGAGCCTCCCCACGACCCGGCCCCGCCTCAGGAAGACTTCCGGTAAGTGCCCCGCAACTTCCGCCGAGAGGAGGAGGCGGGGCTGGCCCCGGGCCACACCTTCTTTACTGCTCTGGCTCTAGAAGCTTCAGCAAGGAAACCGGTTTGCCTCTCAGACTTCCTTCCGGGCTTGTACAGCGTTGTTTTCTGCCAGGCCCTGTCCCAGAACTAACCCGTCACCACTCCAGATATTCCCAACCTTGCCCCCTCTTCAACTAGGCCCCGCCCACACAGCTCAAGGAGCTCTGTTCAAGATGGACGATGTCTAATCCTAAACCAATTATGAATGCTAATCTAAGGAGGCCAGATATGCAAACTGCTCCCTAATCTGGGGAGAACAGCCTGAGTGAGCCAGGGGTCCTGGGGAGAAACTTGTTTCACAGGGGCATTTGCATTTACCACATCCGGGGAGGTCGGTGTTCTCCTGATGTCCCGCCCCATTCTGCCTTAAACTGGGTGACCAGCCCCAGCACACCAGCAGGCCAATGGGCTGAGGACAAAAGAAAGCTACTTTCTCATCTACCTTCCACCTGTTGGACCTGGGCCTAATCTCTGGAATAAGGATGGTGGGTGCAAAGGCGGTCACGGGCCCTGGCACCCCTCTTCGCCTGGCACAGCAACGCAGTGGAGTCAGCAGTGTCATAGTGAGTCCTCCCTTCTATCAGGTGAGAAGGTGCTTGGGCAGAGAGCTCCCTAGAGCTAGAGCTATGTGAAAATGGTGGCTGAAGCTGGGAGGGTAACCCAGGGGAGCTGGTAAAGATGACAGGCCTTCCTTTCACCTGACGCCTTTCTGCTTCTTTGCCTCTAAGATCACGGATCATTAAACCTCTCCTCCCACGTTCCCAGTACCAGATGTTCAGGTCCAGGGAAAGGTTAGAGGCCAGGTGTGACTTAGTCTTTTAGGAAGTTCTGCTAAAGCCTGTAGGTAAGCTCTTATGATGAAAGTTCTACTTGATGTCAGTGGGAGGCAATCCTAAGTAGCTTGGAACCAGTCTGAGAATTCCTGAATAAAAGCAGAGAAGAGTAGGGAAGGGGAGATTTTGGAATTCAGCCTCATGGGTTAACCTCACACATACATTAATGTAAGCCTTTCCTCAGCAAATCTCCACCTTGCTGCCCTCTGTCTGCTTTATCCACAGGTGTCCTGCTGTGGGCCTGTCCCCTGTACCTGCTGCTGCCTTCATTCTAGGTGGCCCCCACTCACAGAGTCTCCCTGTAGCCGCCTGTTCTACATCCTTCTCCATGTAGGGGCCTCAGCAGTCTGCTGTCTCCTGCTGTCAAGGACAGTTGTGGAAAGAGTCTGGGGCAAGGCACATGGGGTAAGTGGGAGAAGGTTGGGTTGCAGCGGAAAGGGATAAAAGGAGAAACCTTGAGATAGACAAGAGATTAAGATTGGAGGCAGAGGACAAATGAGTGGACATATTCATGAGAAGTAGGTACCTCTCTGTATGACGACTTGCCCAGCCATTTCTCACATGCACCTTCCCTCCAGATCCAGATGCCCTCAGAGCTGTGTGCGCATCTGTTTGGCCAGTCTCACTGCCCGGTGCTCAGCGGCTCTGGGGCTGTGTACCGAGTATGTGCAGGAACTGCCACCTTCCACCTGCTGCAGGCTGTGCTGCTGGTCCACCTCCACTCCCCCACAAGCCTGCGAGCACAGCTGCATAATAGGTTTGTGTGTACTCTTTGGGTGGAGAAAGGGTGGGGAGGGAAGTAGACATAAGTTGAGTAAAGGAAATTCCAAGATGAAGTAATAGCACTGTAAAAAGACAGAAAACAGGTTTAAGTCCCTGCTTCTACCATACTTAACTATGTGACCATGAGCCACACACTTATCCTCTTGGAGCTTCTAGTTACTAAAATGAAGGTTTAACAGTAGGGTCACTATATGCAAACCCTTTATCAACTCTAAAACATTGTTATTATATGGGTATCTGAGAGTGAGACTTTGGAATAGGCTGTAATGGGCCGGTTTCCAGCCCCTCACATAGGACTGTTTCCTCCCTGCCAATACTTGGTTGTCTCTTCTCTCCCCTTTCTTATAGTTCTGCTTTCTCCCTTGCCTTCCTCTGTCAGCACTGTTCATTCTCCTTTGTCTTTGCTTCTGAGTCTGGTTTTCTCTTTCCCTCCTAACCAGCTTCTGGCTCCTCAAGTTGCTGTTCCTGCTAGGTCTCTGTGCTGTTGCCTTCTGCATCCCTGATGAGCATCTCTTCCCAGGTACCTTCCATCTCATCCTGATCAGCAGGAATAAGCTAAAAGACTTTCTAAGAAAAAAAAGAGGGGTAGGAAGAGGACCAGGATTCAATGATCAGCTACATTTTCCCACTGGTGCCTCACTTGCAGCCTGGCATTATATTGGCATCTGTGGAGGCTTCACATTCATCCTGCTGCAGTTGGTGCTTATTACAGCCTTTGCCCATTCCTGGAACAAGAACTGGTAAGGCGCACATAACCCAAAAGGCTTCCTGGGAAGGCTAACACTACTAGATCCAGTGGGGTTGTGGAAAAAGCATGACAGGTCAGTGATCCCAGAGCTTCCCATTAAGCAGTATCGAGCAGTTCAGGAATGTGACAACTGTGGGCCAGGTGGGATGGGTATGTCACACCAGTCTTCTGGAAGAGGGGGAATAGTTGGTAATGGGTAAAAAGAAAAGTTGGAGCCCCAAGCCACTGCCCACCTCCCACCCTTAGGCAAACAGGTGCAGCCCAAGACTGCCGCTGGTTCCTAGCTGTGCTGCTGACCACCCTCGGATTCTATGGCATGGCAGGTGTAGGAGCTGTGCTCCTGTTCCACCACTACACACACCCAGCTGGCTGCCTGCTCAACAAGATGCTGCTTAGTCTGCACCTTTGTCTCTGTGGCCTTCTCTCCGTCATCTCCATCGCTCCCTGCATCCGCCTCAGTGGGTACATGCCTTGCAACATTCCAGATTTGGGGGGCCTTTAGTATAGCAAATTTCATTAGCTTCCCTAGTATCAGTCAATTCTCTGCTTCCCCAAAAGATGGGGAGACAGAAATGCAGGTGGGATGAGTGAAGGAAGTTGCTACCCTGTAAACTAATGATTCCCATTCTCCCCAGAGCAATCCCGCTCTGGCCTTCTACAGGCCTCTATCATCAGCTGCTATATCATGTACCTGACATTCTCTGCACTGTCCAGCCGTCCTCCAGAGAGTGGTAAGGAAAGGACCTGGATTCCCCATGCTAAAACCTTTTTTGCTCCTGCCAAATACCTAGCTCTTTGTTCTTACAACCTTTCTCTTCTGTTGCCCCTTCTCAGTAATCCTTCAAGGACAGAATCACACTCTGTGCCTGCCTGGCCTTAGTAAAACGGAACCCGAAACACCAGATACTTCTCTGGCAATGTTGAGTGCTGGCATCATGTATGCTTGTGTGCTTTTTGCTTGGTGCGTAAAGGCGTCAGGGGGGAGGTGTGAGAGAAGGGAGGATGCACAGGACAGGGAGGGATGGTCAGGAGATTGTCTGGGACCATGGTTATTTAAACTTTAGAGCAAGATAAGAGTGAGGAAAGCTCTCCATGAACAAAAAGTTTCTAAGAATAGCACTTGTCAGATGATCTATATGAGATGAAGGGGGCAGGGGAAATGAGAATTTTAAAATGTTCGAAGATTTTAGGGCCCTCAGATGAAAAGGCTTCTAAATCTTTGGGGGAAAGGGGCTCCTGGAGCACAATACCCTTCTAAGAGTTACCAATATGACCAGCTGGCAGTAAATGCCCTCAAGATAACCCCTCCTGCTCTTCGACTGGACTAGCTTGAGAACTGTCTCTTCTTTTCCAGCAATGAGGCTTCCTACCTGGCCGAGGTATTTGGGCCCTTGTGGATTATCAAGGTTTACAGGTATGAGTTCCAGGTGAGGATGGAGAGCTCAATATCCCCAGTACCCCTCCCCCCTGACACAGAGCCAAAGACAGACACACACGCATCCTATCAACCTCCACCCAGAATGCTCAGATTCTAGCTGCTATTACCTTTTATTGAGTACCCACAATGTGCTAGGCACTGTGCTAGATACTTTACATACATAATCTCATTTAATTTAATCCTCACAACAACCCTGTGAGGTAGGTATTTGCTCCATTTTACAAATGGAGAAATTGAGGCACAGAAGGTTAAACATCTTACCAAAGTTCCCATCGCCAGTTTATGCTGGAGCTAGAATTTGAACCCCGGTGTGCCTCCACTTTTTACACTGGTCCAATCTTTTCAAAGAAGGGGACTTTCCTATACTATTACCCTGACATTCTTTCTAAAGTCATTCCAAAACATGCTGCTTTTTATTTTACAGAAGCCCTCACTCTGTTTCTGCTGTCCTGAAACCGTACAACCAGAAGGTGAGTATCAAGTAAGGATCCATGAGAAAGTATAGATTTTTGCAGAGTGGCAAAAAGCCCTCCATTGCCTTCACAAAAGGAGCTGGGGGAGGAGGGAAGAGGTGTTTCAGCCGCACTGCCAGCAGTCCTTTCCTCTCTCCAGGGCAAAAAGGTGGGACTGCCAGGCTAGCTGACCAAGAGACCTCTCCAGCTCCTCCAGTGCAAGCCCAGCAGCTTTCCTACAGCTATTCTGCTTTCCACTTCGTCTTCTTCCTTGCATCACTCTATGTCATGGTTACCCTTACCGACTGGTTCAGGTAAGATGGAGGTAGGCTTAAGATACTCTTCTGAAAACCTAGCTGTTGTAAGAAAAAAGCAGTTCAAGGCCAGTCCTAAGAGTTCTCAGGAGACACACATGGGTCTACCATAATCTTCGGTGGGGAGGTAGGACAGGTCTGAAAGTTACAGCCCTACAGATTCTCTAACCAGAGACTTTGGTTCCACAGCTATGAGGAAGCAGAACTGGAAAAGACCTTCACCATGGGTAGCTGGGCTACCTTCTGGGTCAAGGTTGCCTCATGCTGGGCCTGTGTACTCCTCTATCTGGGGCTGCTCCTGGCACCACTCTGTTGGTCCCCTACCCAGGACCCCCAGCCGCCTCCTATCTTCATACAACACTGTCATCGCATCAGTATCGCCAGATAACAAATATCCAGTTTAAGTACTTATAACAAACTGGGGTTTCCTTGAAACTGTACTCCCTAATCCTGCCTCTCGGGAGCTCTTCAGCCCAACAAATACCTCAAGGACACAATGGATAGTTACCTCCCTCGAGGCTGCAGTCAGTCCTATGTCTGAATTTTAAAGCATGCCCATACACACCCTAATGCCCTGGGCAGAGCAACTGACTCACTGGAGCTACCGTTACATCTTCACCCCAGCTCAACAGCCTGACTCTCAAGTCAGCAGCTTAGGAACCACTACTGATCCCAGCAGACAGTCTGGCACCAGCTCTTTCCTGGCTTTCACGGTGGAGATGGGGGCAGGGAAAGACCAACAGGGACTTAAGACTTACTTGGCTCTGCCCTTGCAGATAAAAAGGAAAATAAGCAGTTTAGCCCTAGGAATGTAAGAAGCCCAGCACCCTAGAACACCCTAGAACAAACCAGGACACAGGAAGAAAGGAGCAGAGACTACCCTAGGTTTTAATCCTATTTGAGGTAAAAGGAAATGGGAAGACAAAAACCACCTTCATTCCATGAGGAATGACAGAAGAGAAATGTGAACACTTGAGACTGGCTGACCATGGGAAGTCAGTGAGCAGCAGGATCTGGGCCAACTTTTAAGCAGGCAAACAAACTGAGGAAGAATGAGGAAGAGGGGCATAAACTTAGGTCTTGGAGCCCTCCTTCTTAGGACCCCAACTCCATCCTTAGGATGGTGTTCAAGGTCTGAGTCGGGGACAGAAATCACAGAAAAGAAGTCCCTAAAGTTCCTAGAGGATTTCTCTACCACATACCTAGAATATGTCTGTTTGTTGTAGTACAATAAAAGGTTTTTTCTGTGATGTTTCACTTAATCTACATATCCACAACCTTTAGCGTCTAAAGTTCTCTCCCCTTTTGGTGGGAAAGGGCAGCCATTCCTCCATCCCCATCCCCCCAAATCCCCAGTCAAACCAGGCGCTC